TCTTCTCACAGTATTAAGCTCACTTTTAAAATCTTTTTTCCTCCTAATACTTTTTCAGAGACATGTCTTCACTGTTCTCTAAATTTTTTTTCTTTTTTATAGAACATATAGTTTAAATCTAAGAAAAAAAACCCTCCAAAGAACTGCTCAGATTGTCTTATTATTTTGGAGTTTTGCAGGATTGACTATTTTTTCTTTTAAGTACTATCCACAGGGTTTGTAAATCTTTGCTCCATATTTTTTTTCTGTAGTGTTACTTGTACCACTGTATGACCATATGTGTCTCTGGTTCAGTGGTAGCCATCTTATGCATGCTGAGTTGATTCATTCTGAGTTTTAAAGTTTCTATTATATTTGAGTTTCTTCCTAGTACAAAGAATAAGAAAAGCATACCTGTTGACAACTTGTGATAGAAAAAGTTTGAAAGGAACTGTAAAATAAGGAATCCTGAGCATGGTACGTTTATCTAAAGAATAAATATGGGACTAGAATGTATAATAGGAACTTGAGTGTAGGAACCAAAAGTTAATCTTCTGTATATATTCAACATTTGTCAAATTCTTACTAGAATACTTTCTTCAGCTCTGAACTTGGCAACTTAAGCAAGATGTGGAAATAATTGGCAAGGTTCCTGAGAGGAGCAATGAAAACTATTAGAGAATGAAAATAAAGCCTTTAAGAGAAGGTTAAAAGAATTGAGGTTTCCTAGGGAAGAAAGTGAAGAGCTGGAACACGGATGGTAACTCTTCATTTTGACTGACCAGGTGGCAAAAAAAAGAATGTCCTAAATTTTCTGGAGGGATTTATTAGCATGTGAACTTTACTCTGCATTCCAAGATTATTGAGACCATATTGTATGCACTCGCTTCTTCCCTGGGCTTTTCTCATGTCACACTTTCTGGTTCTCTCTCTAGCATTTGATACATTTGTATTTTGACTCCTTTTCTTGGAGGGGGCGGGTCTCTCCTTGACTCAGTTTCTTATCTTTCTTTTCCTCTTTTTCCCCCTCCTCCTTGGTGAAATCTCATGACTTTTGCTTCTGTCTTGTTCATGTCAAATCCATCCTTTACACACAGGCACCAGCAAGATCTAACCAAAGTAAACATACCATGTCACTTTCCTACTCAGAATCCTTTAGAATCTTCCCATAACTTCAACAGCAGCCACTGTCCTCCAGGGTCTGGATCCAGGAGAGGGGCAGTGAAGTGACAGGTGCTCCTAACCCCTGGCCAGAAACATCTCTGTGTCAGCCCACCCACTACGAGCATGCTAGTTTACCCACCGTGTCAGGAAACAGGGAGTGTACTTATAGGACAGCTCAAGCTCCTTAGGAGAGCATGAGAGACCTCCATGCTTGGTCCCCTGTCTGCCTCTCTAGCCCCTAGCACCACATCCCACCCTGGACTATGAGTTTTGTTTTTCTTGCATCTTCTGTTACACATGGCTTGCAGTTCTCAGGATTTGTCTTTTTTTTAATAATAAAAATATGAAGGGAAGTTATAAGCTTTTTAAATTAGGAGAGTTGCTTGGTATATTTTATAAGGAGGTTTTACGTACTTTTTAAGACAAAAGATGCTGGATTTCCTGAATTTTGTCCCATAGTATCTTCAGAGCGATTTGCCATTTTAGTTTTGAGTTTGTCTGGATTGGGTATTGATGAGATAAAAACAGAAAACAAAGTTAGTATATATTTATTGAATACTAGGGAACAAATCCATTAAGAACTGTAATTCTTCTTTGTGGAGTCATAAAATGTTAGAGAGAACAGGCCCTTAGATATCATCTGCTTCAGTCTCTCATGGTACAGATGAGAAGAAAACTGAGGCCCTTGAGAGGCTTGCCCAGGACATAGCAGACAGTATGGCAGATTCATCTAGAGCCCAGATGGCCTCAGGGTTGTACTACACCAGTTCTCCTTTTACTGCAGGGGTTTCCTCCCTCCCTCTCCCTCCCTTCCTTCCTCTCTCTCCCTCCCTCCCTCCTTCCCTCTCTTTCTTTCTTCCTACCTACCTACCTATCTGTATTTTTTTAAGCAGAGGAAGCTTACTTCTTTTTAAGTAAAATATATCCATTTACCTTTTTCTGTGAAATGCCTCATATTTATACAAAAGTAGAAAAGGAAAGTGCTTGTTCAAATAACCAATTGGTGTGGGTATATATTTGTGTATTACATAAATGCACTGAATATATGTATATATATGTTTATATATTTAATATTCACATAAGGTGAATTAGATTATTGAGTGGCAGGAATTCATAATTGATTCATTTAACTTCTTGGGTTTAATTCTTACTTTTACCTTTAAAAAAGTTGAATGACTCTTAAGTTTTCTTATAACTTCCAAATCATAATAATTACCAACACTTGAATAGTTCTTATTCTCTACCAGTCAGTTGTGGTTGCAAGTACATATGTTAAGTACACACTTATATGTAATTCTTGCAACTATTATGTGAGGTTGGTACAGTTACTATTGAGGAAATTAAGGCAGGAGGGTGTAGTGGCCCAAGGTGATGCCATTAGTAAAATGTGGAGCTGGGATTGAAGCCAGCGAATCTGGCTCTACAGTCCATGCTTATGACCCCTGTACAGCACTATATGGTGTCTCTGTGCTTTATCTTGTTACTGCTTTGAATGAGATTTAATGAAAATGAATGTTTAAGGAAGTCTGTCTCTTCTTTCTTGATGTTTTAAAAAATAAAATATGAGTAACAAATGTTTAACTTATAAAAGAACAACTCTTTTTAAAATGATAAATTTGTTCTGAGGAAAATTAAGAAGTTCACTAATTATTGATAGCAGTTCTATTAATATTTTATATAGTGTTTATTGACCAAAAGAATCTAAATCAAACTGAAGTTACTCCTAGGACTCTATAATCTTTACAGTTGTGTAGTGGCTTTAAAAAATATTACTCAGAAACAAACCAGAATAATTTTTTTAGGTAGAATTTAATGAGAACATGATTCTGGATGATTCTGTTTTGTCAGGTCCTCTTCCGGATGCTGTATTTTAAGAAAAGCCCAACCAGACTGAGGGAAGGGATTGAGAACTATGTCATTATGTAAGAAAAATTTGGAGGGCCTGGTTACGCTCAGCCTGAAGAAGAAAGAACATTCTCAAATATATGAACAGCTGTTATTTAGAAGGATTCGCTAACTAAACTCATAGAAACAGAGAATAGAAAAGTGGTTGCCAGGGGCTTGGGGGAGGTTGGGAAATAGGGAGGTGAATAGGTAAAAGGGTATAAAATTTCAGCTCTGAGATGATTAAGGACTGAGGATCTAATGTAAATCATGGTGACTGCAGTGATAACACTGTATTGCCGAGAGAGTAGAACTTACATGTTCTCACTAAAAACAAATAAGTAAATATATGAGGTTACAGATGTGTTAACTAAATGAGAGGAGTCCTTTCACAGTGTATACATATATCAAATCATCATGATGTGTGCCTTAAATATCTTACAATTTTATTTGTCAGTTATACCTCGGTAGAGCCAGAGAGAAAAAAAGGATTTGACTTCATGGGATAGAATTGGAGCAGTAGGTGGAAAGTTACAGAGTGACAGACTTTTAGCTCAGTAGAAAACGAGTGTGAAATTGGCTGGCTTAAGCAGTGAGGATTTCTTTGTCAGGAAGTTTTCAAGCAAAAGCTGGGTAACCCCTGGGAAAAGGATTTTGCAGAGAAGATTCATAGTTTAGTTGGACTAGATGACTTTTCAGTTCCCTTTTCACAGTCCTTGGCATATTAATATGCACTCAATAAATAACTGTTAAATTGATGACTTTTAAAAACATGGAACGGGAGAAATATCCTTCTCTATTTTAAACCAGTGTGACTCTCTTTTTTAATGTACAAAGAACTCTTTTAAAATTAATTAATTTTTGGCTGCGTTGGGTCTTAGTTGCTGCACATGGGCTTTCTCTAGTTGCATCGAGCTGGGGCTACTCTTCATTGCGGTGTGCGGGCTTCTCATTGCGGTGGCTTCTCTTGTTGCAGAGCACTGGCTCTAGGTGCGTGGGCTTCAGTAGTTGTGACACATGGGCTCAGTCAGTAGCTGTGGCTCGCGGGCTCTAGAGCTCAGGCTTAGTAGTTGTGGCACACAGACTTAGTTGCTCCACAGCATGTGGGATCTTCCCGGACCAGGGGTCAAACCCGTGTCCCCTGCATTGTCAGGTGGATTCTTAACCACTGTGCCACCAGGGAAGTCCCAAACCAATGTGACTCTTTTTTTTTTTTTTTTTTTTTGCGGTCCGCGAGCTTCTCACTGCTGTGGCCTCTCCCGTTGCGGAGCACAGGCTCCGGACGTGCAGGCTCAGCGGCCATGGCCCACGGGCCCAGCCGCTCCATGACACGTGGGATCCTCTTGGACCGGGGCACGAACCCGTGTCCCCTGCATCGGCAGGCGGACTCTCAACCACTGCGCCACCAGGGAAGCCCCCCAATGTGACTCTTAAAGTGACTTATTTGATTCTGTCCTGATTATAAGGAGAGATTGAGAGGGAAAAATATTTAACTTTAGATGTCAGTTTGGTTACTTTCTGGTTCCTCTTATATACTGTGAGGCTTTATAAATTGTGTTGCACTCTCCAGGAAAAGGTAAGTAACTTGCATAGCTGTTATATAAATCATTACTATATAAGTTTAAAATGCATACATTTTTGTATGTATGCATATCTGAGTTTATTAACTTGTAAGCTCTTTGGTATTAGGATTTGTATTTTTATGTTTCCCCTCACAGCATCTAGTTCATACCTTTTAAAAATAATATTTGAAAGTGATTTCAAACTCTGTGTGTGTGTGTGTGTGTGTGTGTGTGTGTGTGTTGGGTATGGGGGGGTTGTCCCTAATTCTTATTCAGAAATAAAGTCCTATCACTGATGTATGCTAATGCTGATTTTTAAATTTAGAAATTATTTAATTTAATTAATTCAAGTCAATTTTGAATTGTGTTGAATGTAGCAGGGAGCATATTCAATGTTTGTTGCTTTTGTAGGTGCATGTGAGGGAACCTTGGCTTGCTCCACCTGTCACCTCATCTTTGAACAGCACATATTTGAGAAATTAGAAGCAATCAGTGATGAGGAGAATGACATGCTTGATCTGGCATATGGACTAACAGATAGGTAAGATTTTTGGACCACTTCTGTTGTAATAATAATATAGGAGGATAAAAGTTTTATTAGTTCGTGTCTGTCTCTGACCAGAGACATGTAATATGCATGCATGTAATAGGGTTCTCCCAGTGTAGATAGATAACAGTCACAGACTTTGAATATCAAATATGTGACATTTCTCTTATGTATTCTACAGTTTAACCCTTATGAAACTTTTAACAAAAGTAAAAAAAAAAATAATTGGATGGAAGCATAAGTTCTAGATCCTAATAAATCTTCTTTCATCTATTTTTATTCCAGGAATTAATATTTATCACAATTTAATGAGTTGGGATTAAATTTATTGCTTTTTATGGTATTCTTGAAGGACAGATTTGATAATTGAAAGAAATTATAATGGAAAATTTTACCTACTTGAGAGAATACAATTTTTAAAAGAACTTAATATATAATAGTAATTATGTTAAAATGAATACTTCTGTTTCTAACTGTACATTAAAGTAAATTAATCAGAGCTTATTCTTGTTATTAATAAGTAGAATTACTCTTAAAAGTGGTAAGATTTATAGTAGCAAGAGATATCAAGTGATACCTTATTATTATTTTTTAATTATCTAGTCTTTTGGTTTGAGTTAGGGAAGATAGGTAGTTAATTTACTGTTTCAAGGGACAAGATAACAAGAGTTTATTTAATTAAGGTTGGCTTTGGTGTTTAACTGTAATTTGGTGGCCCTAATGAAAAATAGTTTAAAAAATAAGAAATAATAGTAATAATAATAGCTTTATTTCATGTGTATCATGTAACCACAATTTTATTAGATCCTTAAGATAAACCCTCTTATCTAATAATCCTCAAAAAGTTATTAGGTCATTGGTATTTATTGTGGCTGCCATCTGCCTGTCTCCCCTCACATCTTCAGGTGCCACATTCTCTATCAACACCTCCTTTTTTTTCTAGAGGATAACACACAGAATACACTCAGTGTTGTGTTAATTTGGTTCTGAAAATTGTTTCTTTCAATGTGAGGGGTAAATCATAGCTAACTGCTTGCCCTTTTATTCAGGTGAAATTTGTAGGCGCATGTAACAGATAATATTCTGAATGAAAAGAAAAAAAAATGAGAGGAAATGGAGAGCTACGGTTAGGAGAGATACACGAGTGTGAGAAGATACAAGAGATCTATTGTCAATGTAAACTAGCCAAGAACTTTGATAATAAAATTCAGAAGTTTTAGAACAAGATAATGGAAAGCAGGAAATAGCTTTTATGGCATTTTATAGCTGATATTCTTAAGTACACAGAATTTTAGTAGAAATGCTTTG